CTAAGTGAGTTACTATTTCGATGAACAAAGCAGAGTCAAGATTGCATTACCACTTGAGGGTACTCTTAAGCATCTCTCTTAATGTAATTAGCTAACTATAGAGATTGTACACAAGTACTATGATCAATTGAAATAAACCTTACAGTAATTTTGTTAAAGGTTTATATTGTGAAATGTAGATATTAAATTTTAGCCAATCAGCACAACTTTATGATAAAAAAAGATGGTCTCTGACCATCTTTTTTTTCATCACGATAATGAACTCGCTTAACCAAATAATTTATTTTATATTAATTAAAAATTAAACTCAGACCTATTGATTTAGATGCTCAAGAGCACCCTGAATTGCTACTACTTCAGCAGATTTTAAATGTCTGTTTTTCTTTATTTACACTTTCTTAAAAAACTTGTACTTGAGAATCACCACTTTCAAATACTACTCGAATACCTTTTTCCTTCTTGACTGCATCTATGCCTTTGTCTTAACCAAATCCAGGATTACATTATCGAGAATCACATCTTCACCAGATTCAAACACAGCTTAAATGCTTAATATCAGAAAAACAAGCGTGTTAATACAAAAAAAAAATAAAATAAAAAATACAATAATACTTATCCAGTATCTCGTCCAATTTGGTATCATCTCTTCTTTCATCATTAATGCTGTGATTAGGGTTAGAGTATTGTTCTTTTTTCATGTTAGTTGATAAAAAAAAAACTTCGATTGCAAAGTGCATCTGCTAATCACCTGATCCAAGTTCATTGAGGTATTTTTGCAGAATGCCTTTGTTAATACTTTTCCTCTTTCTAGCCCAAGTTTAATATTCTGAAGATTCAAGCTTTCAGAGTATTGTTCTGAAAAGTGTCTCTGCTATTATATATATTTTATCTTCTGATCAGAGTTCATTCTTATCAAGATCCAAAGGAGTTAGTGAGATGTTCTGCAAAGCTTTTCTATCATCCAATTCAAGTTCATTATCTTCAAGATTTTAAGAAGTCAGCAAGATATTCTTGCGAAGTGCATTCATTAATATTTTTTCCTTCAAATCTAAGATTATTTTATTTTAAAATTATTTAATAATGAAAAATTAAATAAAAAAATAATTTATTGATATATTACGTATGTTAAATGTTCAATTTTTTTTTTTTGTTTACATAAAAAAAAATATATATATCACTTCTTCAATTTATATATACTATAAAAGTTCATATACAAGATTCTCCAAAATAGTAGACCTACCATGAGCTAGACCCGGTTGAACCACAAAATCTTTATTAATTAAATACAGTTTTTTTTAAATAGTAGAATGTCTATTAAAAATATAAAGTGTGCATGTACTTTGAATTTTTTCTTTTTATGATATAACCTCTGAGTGAGTATTACGTAGACCCTGGGTCTACTAAAGGGTTTAAAAATTGGTAGAATAAAACAGACCCGAATCTTGTATATGAACTTTTACAGTAATTTAGCCTGATATGTAAACCTTTTTGCATAATTAAATTTTTTTTGCATAATTAAAATTTTAATTGCTTCAATGGAGTCTGCAAATAGAGTGCTAATGAATGGTATCTATTGGTTCCATTCAGAGCTCTATTGGCCCCATTTGTAAACTTCATTGAAGTCAGTACTGGACTATAACCCATTATAGTTGGCCAATCCACTAGTATAATGAACAATGTCTATTGATATTTTCTTCAAGCCCATCATAGTTCATCTTGCCTCAATAGTATATTGTATTTTTGTATAATAATACCAATAAGCATTATTTCAAAAATCATATAACTTGAAATAACATGCATGGCTTTGAAATGATGCTCATACTCATCTTTAAATAATACGCATGTTTGAATCAGTGTATATAAGCCAATTGTAAATATCTTTTTATATCGAACGATAAGCCTTTAACTCAAAATATCGCATATGCGTGTACTTGAAATACTCAAAATAATGTGCAGATAGGTATTATTATACAAAGATACGGTAGTATGCACCTGAAACTGGCTTTTGGGTAGATTTTGTTTGAATATATAACTGACAAATATACATATAATCAACATCAATCAAGATTGATTGATTTTTTAATGATACGTATTAATTATAAATACGTATATATGTAAGAAGACTTGATCAGATTATATTTTTTTTAACTTTTTCGACACGTATACATACCTCAACAAACTTGTAAATTAAATACCAAAAATAAAATAATAAAAAAATGCCAAAGCCAAATAAATGCACAAGACAAGCTTGACAAGCTGTTACCATAAAATAAAAAAATAAATCATTAGTTAAATCGACCAATACTGCTTCCAACAAAAGTTACAAACCTATGATACTAATCTCATTAACAAAAATTGGCCTACAGTATCGAAACTTGCTTCTTCATCGCATAAGACTCTTGACAGTAGTGTTAATGATGATAATTCTATATTATCATTACTAGATGCACAATTGAAAACAAAAACTGTTGATATAAATCTCAATACAACAAGACAATTTCTTCGTCTTGTGAATGAAGGATATACAAAGATGAAGGCAAGTAAACTTCTGGCTAAGAGTTTGGGTAAAAGCCCATGGCATGCTCGGTATATTTGTATCTAGGCAAATCAATTGAAGAATAACAAAGAATTAACGAAGTCAAAACATGATAAATATGTAAAAACCAAATTGTTAATTCATAATAAAAGTTTTCAACGTCAAATAAATCAGTATTTGGAGAAAAATAAATTTAAATTATCTATTCCAAATTTTATAAGTTATGTTAGTCATATTATGTCTGCTTTTGGAGTTATAAGTAAAACTATTAGCAGGTCAACTGCATGTAGATAGCTAAAATTGCTTGGATTGAGATACCAAACCTATACAAAAAAGATTTATTTTGATAGCCATGAATGTGAAGATGTGGTAGAGTACAGAAATGATTTTTTGCAGGAAATAGCTAGGTTACGAAAATGAATAGTCAAATATGAAGGTGAAAAATTAAACCATATCTCACCAAATCTTCTTCTTGGTGAGGCTAAATTGTTCCTATCACCCAAAATGAAACCACTCTTTATACAAATAATGGTGTAAAACAATATTGGAGCCCAAAAGATGAATATGGCCTACAGAGAAAATCATTAATAAGAATCAGAATTAACTAACATTTTAGTCAGCTAATCAGCTAACTAAAATTTTTAATTATTAATTAAAATATTATGTATCAATCAGCTATAATCCCTGATCACTATACCAATATCACTGGGATTAATGAATAATATCCTAAACTATACATGAATAAGCAGAATCTTCATTTCTGCTAATCCCAATAGACCAGGTTATCGTGCAAACTCTTATGATCATAGATTTTTTTCTTGTAATTTTTTGTACGTTATTTCATAAGCACAACAATCCCGAATTAAAACTCAGTTAGCTAACCACGACTCATAAATCATAATCATAATTGTATGATAATATATTGGATCATGAGATGATAAATATCACAAAATTTGTTCTGTCAGAGCAAATGATTGAATAAAATGTATCACTATACGGCACATGTCAGCCAATCATTTGCTCTGACAAAACAAATTTCATGATATTAATCATTGTATGGCCAATATCTTATACATATTATTATTCCTAATATTTTAGTAAGTTGGCTAAAAACATTTTTTTAACTAATTTTTGATTTCTATCTTTGATCACAGGGCTCCAGTATTCATATTAGTGATTTTGTCTGTAAATCTATTGGGCGTCTCAAACTTTCAGACTATGAAATTGGTATAAATGACTTACTTCTTGATTTTATGTATCTCAAATATACCAAAGCAGATATTGCCATCTATCCAGGTATAAATCATGATGGTTGGTGGACATGGATGATTTAGTTAATCAGGTAGTTGAATGTGCTATACCAATATTTGAACGAACACACCCCAACAAGATAGCTCTATTTATGTTTGATAATAGTAGCAATTATAGTTCATTTGCTGAAGATGCCCTTTTGGTCTCACAAATAGGTATGAAAGATGGTACAAAAAAACTACTTCATAATAATAATACAATGTCTGATAGTTCCAAGCATATAATAATCTATATAGACAATGCTAATGTAAAAAGACCTAAAGGAATTAAACAGGTTCTTGAAGAAAGAGGTTTGTGGATACCAGGCCTTATAAAAAAGTGTGATATATGTAAAAAAAATAAGCCTAATCCAAACAACCCAAACTGTTGTGTTTCGTATATTCTTTCAGCTCAACTTGACTTTGCAGCTCAAAGATCATACATATTAAATAAGTTTTTTTTGTTAAAAAAAAAAAATTTAAAAACCATTACTTATATACGTATAAATAATTTAGGTAATTGAAGATGCCGGACACATGTGCATCTTTTACCCTAAGTTCCATTGTGAACTTAATTATATTGAGTCTTTTTGGGCTGAGGTAAAACATTATGCAAGACTTTACTGTGATTATAGTTTTAAAAGCCTCAAAAAAACTGTTCCAATAGTATTAGATTTTGTTAGTTTATTAAAAATTTACCACTTTGCTTGCCATTCTGAACAATTTATAAGTGCTTATGAACTTGGACTTTCTGGAAAGGCTGCTGACTTTGCAGTAAAGAAGTATCGTTCTCATCATCGAATTTCAGAACAAGTTCTTGAAGAATTCGCTTATGATTAAAAGTATATATGTATGAACTATATATGTAAATAAAAGTTGTAAAGTAATACTTTAAAGTGTATATGTATTTCAATAAACTGTGATTTTAAAAGCAAAAAAAAGTTAGGGTTAGATTTTATGCATAAAGTAAAATCGGTTAAGGAAAAAGCATCAATAATCGTATATATACAAAATTCTAAAATCTGATTTGTGCAGAATATCTGCACCACAAGATCTAATTTTGATGAAATTTCAATCCTAACCTAAGATCACAAAATTAATTTTTCTTTTTGTATTACCTGCTGACCCAACTTTTTAAAATTCAATTTTTTTTACAATAACAATGAATTCAATTCAAAAAAAAAATTACTTAATCAAAATATAAAGACATATAATAATTACTAATTCAGAAAGTTAAAGTAGTATCAGAACATAACCAAGATACCAAATTTTAATATCATCCATCTTAGTACTATCTTAGTAACATTCTTAACTTCAGACATTGTTCTGTATTTAATTTTTTGAGCCAGACCATGACTAGAGGATCTATTAGAACAAGAAAAAACAAGATTCATATGAATACTAACTAACACTCTTTTATTTTTATTTTCCTTTCTACTATTATTCATTCTATGTGTGATGATCTCATTACTATTATTATTGAATTCAATATCATCTTTATTGGTAAGTTTTGATAATAACTAGATATCTTATGCTTATTTATTTCAGCTCCAATTCCATTCTCATGCAAAATCTAATTTAAAATTATATTATCTCTTCGAATTGTCATCTTCGACAAATTAAATACTATTCAAATAATTACGTAGCATCCACATTCACCAGACTTTTGATAAAAATCAGATATACCATACTTGTTTGTTTTAACTCCTACGTATTTGATGACATTCATCAAAACTATATATTCTATTTCAGCTTCACATGATCAATTTTGTGACTACAACCATTTTATAATATGTAAGCTAAAGGTGAATATATTATACGTTAACGTTAAGATCATAAGGTTTATGCTATGTACCAAATCTAACTTGCACATACTTTCATATAAATAACTTGTTTATACAGCAGTATATACATGATTTGAGGAAATTCACATAGTAAATATGGAAGTATGATTTATATATAGAACAGAATTATGTACATATGTATTAGTTACAATAGATAAGCACTTTAAAAGAAACAAAATTCTAGGTTTTGAATTGTATCCAAATATATACAAACAAAAAGTTGTCACCCTTTATTATTTTTGTAAATTTTTTATATAAGCCACACCTTGTACTTAATAGCCACACAAAATATTTTTATCTATCAACATGGTTTACTTAGTTTTTTTTTAGATCTATATAGGAGGATTCGACCTTCGTTAAGAGTTTGGCTTTTGCCAGGAGTTTTGCTTTTTACCAAGGTTTTCGTCTTTCATCATTTGTACAAAATAGCTTCATCTAACAACTACAGTATGATTGTTTCAGCGCTGAATCAAGTCTTGTTATGCAACAGAAAATGTGCTAAAATGCTTTTAACAAAAAGAGGATATCTACTTGATACATATATGATATGTATAATCTGTAAAATAATTTTGAAATTTTCTAAATTTTTTTTTTTTTACAAAAAATAGCAAATACAGAATGAGAAGTTGTCCATATTGTAGTAGAACATAATACCTATATTTTAGAAAAAATCCTTAAATGGGATATAATAACGGTATTAAGAAACATGAGCTTTAAGAGAGTCAATACTTTAACAGGGATGGATATGGAATTTGTATATACAAGGTGAGTTTTCTTATTGATTATTTGTTGAGTCAGTATATTTGAAATTATGCTGCCTTATCTGTATAATAAAATCTGATAGAGAATTGAAAGCTCATTGTGGCGACTATTTTGATAGTAAACATTCTTCTCTATCTGTTATGGATGTTCCTGTAGTTATAATTGGCCCTCTTTGCATTAGAGAGGCACTTTCTGTATATATTGGGAAGTATTCTGCTAGGAAGTTGGTGAATAGGATATACTCTGACATTGAAGTACCATGCATCTTTGTTAGTTGACGATGATGACAAATATTCATGATTTATTATTTATTCTATAGTGGACCTGGTGACAGAGATAGAAATATTTTATGTCGAATCGCCGGGATCACTATTGTGATTCAATACAAAAACTATAGCTGTTGATATTCAATACGTAATTTAATTAGTATTTTCGTTACTATATTATGTATAAATATTATATTAATAAATTAAAATCTTTTAATTTAAATTTTTTTAGATCGAGAGGTCATCTTTGCACATAAGACTGTCGTGTGAAGATATGCTTGTAAAACTGGACAGGCTACTATTGACATTGTAGTAGGTCCTACTATGAGTGCATTTGCCATTGCTGCAGTGGAGAAAATTGACCGCACTAATGATTTGATCCTCTTGGCAGATCGAGACAACTTTTCGGATATTATAGATATCTTTTTTCTATAAATTTTTTTCTAATGCCAAGTTTCTTGTATATACACCTCTCTTTACATATTTCTTTAATTCCAAATTTACCAAAGTGTGGTACATGGATCACTTGAGCATTGACCTCCACGTAGTGTGACCTGAATAACTAACTAATGAATACTCATTTATCTTTTATGCTCAAATATAATTTTTAGTAAATGTGTACATTCCTGCCCAAGATTTTTTTGTGAATCGTGAAATGAAGTAATTGATCCGGAATTGGCATGTCATTCGTGAATCATGAAATGAAGTGGCTCATTTTAATTAATATGATTATTACATATTATTTTTCTTCTTCTTTTTATGTAATAAGAATTTAATTAATATACATAGAATAAAAAAAGTATAAAAGCGATGTCTCTGAAATAAAGTATAACTCGATTAAGTTTTTAAAGAGATTTCTTCTTGTCATAAAGACAATTGTAATAAAATTGTTATTTGTTCCTGTGATTGTAACAAAAATTTATATGTATTACCAATCTTGAAATAAGAGTAAGGAAGAGAAGTATCAGTTAATAATTCAAGCCTCCTTTTAAAACAAAATACAATTGATCAAACTTTGATCCAACGCCATTGTTATCTCAAATTGAATTCAAATCGATATCGCGATTCTTTAACCACGTGATCCATGTGACAATTGTTAAGAATCTTAACGATTGGAATCAAATATTGAACCCTATTAAACCAAAACTTGGGAAAGAGCATTATCTTTAGCTTCCAACTGAAGCATACAATTATTCAGTAAGAGTACAATTCAAACTCATACTTATCTTAAACTCTAGTATTACTGTAGCAAGACCCGGAAGACCTTAAGGTTTCACGCTAACAAAATATACCTAGTTTTGTCTTTCATAAATTAAAATTTTAAATGACAAAATAATGAAACTGATAAAAGGTGATGGTGACGAACTGAAAAAACTGTAAAGGATGGCAAAACTGACAAAACTGTAAAGATCAGAGGTTTTGTTTTTCGTCATCATGTGACAAAGGTTTCGTCTAACAACTATACCTCAGACCAAGTCCTTCCACACCTCTTTCCACCTTCCAGATCAAGATTTTAGATATCTTGAGACTTGTGTAATAGTTTTAGTATTAAAGTAGTTGGACTAATTAGTTTTTATATCAGACCATTAGTCATTACTTTTTCAACGTACAATCTGTTACGTATACATTCAAACTTTAATCAAGATATTTTGATATCACATGACCAAGTTCGAATAACTTTTTTATTCAAATTTTACTATCTTTACAATTAAAATAAAAAAAGTTTATCGAATTTGGCTAGGTGAGTGCCGAGATCTCTTCGGTTAAAGGTTTGTAAAAAAATTTGAACATCTATTAAGTAGAGATGCGTTAAATAGTGTTTTAAACTTTGATCAAAGATATCTACCTAACCAATTCGATGAAATTTTTTCTATTCGAATCCTACTAATATCTATAAGTAAACCAAAAAAAGTTTATTGAACTTGGCCAGGAGGGTATCAAGATAACTTCAAAGTTTAAAAAAACTATATTAACAAGATTCCTACATGATGCGTAATGTTTGATCACACTAATTTGAAAAGTACTATAATTTTTAATACTGAATTTTTAATAACCAGATTAAAGTATCCAGAATTCTGCTACTCTAACTGACAAATCCTGCTGTGATTATCGTTAATTTTGCAGATTCTGCGATGAAGTATAAATAATACTTTAAAAAAAAAATCAAAACCAAAAAAAATCAAAAGAAATTGTAATATTATCACAAAAGCCTACATTTGCCAATAGTTTATAACATACTAATACATAATTTCATGCGAATTCTTTGTCTACTAATCATTAATAGGATATTTTGCAAATTCTGCTTTAGCAGATTTTCTGCTTTTTTGCTTGAGCAGGCAGAACTGCGCTAAAAGCAGAATTCTGCGCAAATTTTGCCACTGCAGATTTCTGGACACTCTAAACCGGATGCTTGTTCGCTTCTAAAATTGAAAGAATTGTAAATACCAAAATTTTAAAAGTATAATTTTATTTTAAGGCAAAGTTTGCTAACTCACTTTGCTTTTTGTCACTGGATTAAAGAAAAGAATAGTGATTGGACCCAGATAGCACCTACTGGGTCACTTGTGGGTAGACGAGTAACCCGGGTAGAAACAGGTAGATCACCTGTGGGTTACTTGTGAACAATTCATCATATAATTGGCTAATTTACAAAGATCAAAACAGAATCAAATCAATCAAAAAATCTAATATGCGAATAAATTATAAGCAAAACTATCCTTTTATTCTTTTATATTCTAGTCATCACAATCTTTATTAGAAATATGATATAGCTTTTAGCTTATAAAGAAGCAATAACATATATGAGTGTTGCTAAAAGAAAATCTAAAAATTTAAATATAATTTATATTTAAATTTTCAGGTTTTCTTTTAGCAACACTCATATATACTATATTATTAATCTATTTTATACTTACTAATCTAGTAATTAACTTCATAATATTTAAAGTACATAATTAATATAAACCTC